TGGCGGGGCCTCATCTGGCACGCCCGTTTCGTCGCCAGGTCGACACCCTAGGAACAGCATTCGCCGTAATTTCCACGGCGGCGACGAAAAAAACAGAAAACACGATGCAGGAGGCCCCCAAATCTGGCGGCCAACGCCCCAGATCCTAAGTCAGCGTTACAGAAAAACTGGCGGCGGCGGCGGCTCTCGAAGCCAATGCGGCGATATAAGAGCGACGGCGGCGGACTCTGCGCGTGCTACGCGTACTGCGTAATATGAACGTGGGAAGATACCGGGGTATATAATGTTACGTAGACGTGCTTAACTCGCGCGCACGCATGCGTGCTTCTTATAACATGTATTCCTGACTTGAAGATCGTCGGACCGCGAAATACGAGCCTGAACCCGACGCCGTCGTTTAATTCAGAATTCCGTCAATCGCTTCCACAATGAAGCGAAACCTTCAACCCGCGAGCGCGCGTCCAAAACATAACAAACCTATGTCCAGGAAAAGCATGGAAATATCCCGCTTCTCCGTCGCTTGCCCCCCCTGGGCCCCAATTCCCCATGCAACCGCGACAGATTACACAATGGAGTTCTGCTCAAAACTCTTCCCAAGCCCGAACCCCCCACGCAGAGGGAACAACCGCGCAACCGCGACGAATTGCACCACGTAGCTCTTTTTCGAAGGGAGGAAGCAAGCGCGCAATCGAGACGAGGAACCTGGCCCGCGACCCAGACGCTGTAGCGGGGTGGGCTGAAAGCAACCATGCAAACAACCGGTGCAACCTCGCGGCGGCGGCGGCGGTCCGTCGAGAGACGAGGGGGCGTAGAGGCGTAGTGGACCTGGTGATCTCCTGCCTGTAGCCACGCGGGCCGATGCCGCAAATGCCAGACCCGTCGGCGCGCGATCTGCACCATGGAAACGGACATCGGCGATGACGTCGGCCGGGCCGCGGCGCGCCGGACGGTGCGCTAGTCGGGTGTCTGTGGCATCAGTTGAAGATGGCATGCGCCTTTCAACATGCGTCGGCGCTGTAGGCGCATCTCCCTCGCCATGCTGAAAGGCCGAGGCAGATGGGGGAATCCCTGTCGTCGCCGGCGAAAGCCGCGACTGGGGGAGGTTCAGGCACGGGTACGGGTGGGGGATCAATTTGCGTCTCTGTCCAACTCTGCGCGGCCTGATGTCGCTGCTCGTCCTGCTGCCGCATGGGCTCGAGTGCTAGCTGTGCGCTGTGGAGCTCGTCGAGGCGTCGACGTTGCGCGTGGTCGAGGGTGGTGCCCGCGTTGTGGTCGGGTCGGCAGCCGCGCCGGCGAACCGCGTGGCCACTCTCCCTCGCGGCTGGCTCGCGTCGACGGGGCTGTTCTGGTTGAGCCAGCTCCTGGGGGGACTCCGGCACTGGCGGTGACGTCGCTGCTGGCGCGGACTGACGTGGCCGCGTGGAGCTCGATCCATATGGGGCGTCGATGCCGAGGGCTGAGACTGAAGGCATGCATGCCCAGCTCGGCAACTGCACGTCGGCAGGCGGGGCCAGAGGCGTAGCGGCTCGCGCGTTGAGGTCGCTTACATTGTCGTGGCCCTGAGCTTGTCCCACTCGTGTCCACCAATGCGGCGCTGGTTGCGGCGGTGCTCATGATGCTGCCGGGGCTGCTGGGGCTGCTGATGCTGACGGCGCAGCTGGTGCTGCCATCCCCGCTGCGACCGCGCAGGCTGGTGGCGCAGTCGCAGGGCCCGCCGGTTGCACAGGCTTGCACGCGGCCCATGAGTTCCGCCATCTCCCGTCGTAGTCGTCGTAGTTCGGCGTCGTGAGGGCTGGGCGATGTGTCCGCCCGTTGCAGCCGCTGGCCGTGGCCGATTTGTTGCCGGGGGCCTGTCTAATGACGCGCCTGGAGCGGCTGCAGGCGCTGCTGGCCGCGGAGCCGGCGCTGCTCGAATCGGCTGGCCGCCGCCCCAGGGGTCAGCGCTCTGCGTGGGATCGCTTTCTTCAGCGCCCGCAACCGCGGGCTGCGGGGTCCCCGAGGTGTTGTGCGTAGTCATCCACGCTGTGTGCGCTCCTGGGGTGTTCCGCTGCTCGTGGGGCCCCGGCGGCCCCTGCTGTCCCGGCAGCGCCAGTGGTGAGGGCGTCGATGGTGCCGGTGGTGCCGGGGCGCGCGCGTTAAGAAAGAAGGCGCGCCCGTGTCTGTGGCGTCGGGGGCAGCCGCGAACGGGGTGCTGTTCAGAGTCGCACTTGCGGCATGTGAGACGCGGCCCATCAAGGCCCACGGTTTGCCATGGCGGCATGGATCCATGCCGCTGGTCCTGAACTTCCCCTCGCCCCTGCCGAAGCCCTCCATCGCGCCCGCGAAAGCTTCGCGGACATCGTTATCGGGCAAGTCGGCCAGGAAGGCGCGGTAACCCTTATCTTGGCCCCTGCCTCTCCGTTTGATGACCCCCCGGAAGCGGCGCGTGGGCTTGCGGTCGGCGAAGCTGCGCCAGCGTGCTTTGGCGCGCTCGCGAGTCTGAAAGAAGCGCACGCCGCGTTGTTCCATGGGGTCGCCGCGTGGCTCGGGATCATCGGCGGCAGTCTCTTCGCCGAATGAGCTGATGGCGTCGGTGTCGATGCCTGGATCAACGCCTGCTGATGGGGATGCCCCTTGCGCTGGTGGCGCCGTGCTAGTGTTGGGGCGGCTGCAGGTGCAAGCGGGCTCGGTGCCGCTTTCAGCGCGGCCGGGCCCATGCCGTCCCAGCTCGGTCCGGCTACGTCGCCGCAGGAACCGTGGGCCTGGCACTATGTGGGCGCACCCGCGAGGAAGGTGTGCCGTTGGGTAGAGTGGGCCTCGATCGCGCGCCCGAAGCGTCGCAGGTGGCCGTCATGTGTGCGCGCTGTGCTGTGCTGGTTTCGTAGGGTAGGCCATGTTGCAATACTGCAAGATCATGGCCCGTTGGGTGTTCGACGCGCCCACAGCGCGCAGCAGGAGGAAGCTGAAGCTCTCGCGGCCACTCATGAACTGAACATAACTGAACCGCTTGCTGCGCGCGGTTGCGGGGGATGTCGAAACGCGTGTTGAGATGGTCGATGCGCTCTTGCGGCAGTCGGTTGGAGTTCATCAGTGCCTATGCTGCCGAAGCGCGCTCCTCCTCTCCCGGTCGGCCCCATCGTTCGGCCAAGCTGTGCATTAGCAAGGTCATCGTTGGCACCAGATTGCCATTAATGAGCCCTCGCTGGATCAGGACAGCTGGCGGCCATTCATCTACGCGCTCGCGAGCCATGTCGGCGAGGTGGGACGTGGCGCAGGCCGCCCGGCGAAACTCGTTGAAATCTGCATTCGCCACTGACCTGATCAGTATCTCGCGCGCCCATCGCTGGAAGGGCGCTGGAGACTGCTGCTCGGGCCCCCAAGTGCGGAGGTGACGGATGTTGCCGCTGCCGCCACCTGCGTCCACGCAGGAGAGGCAACTGGTGATGGCAATCATGCCCACTCCGATGGCCTTCCATCCGCAATGGAATTCCCTCCGTGTCTCGACGAGGCGCTGGAGACCGGGGATCCACCAGCGGCGCTGCTCCGGCAAAGTGCTTCGGAGCCGCCGAGGATACTTGCCCCGGGTGTGGTCCTCCTCGTCTGCGTATTGGGCGTATGCTTCTGTCGTGTGGTTGTGGTGCTCTCGGTACTCGGAGCATCCCGCGACACAATCGCAGAAATGCCCCTGGTACGTCGCGTTGTCACTTCATTGAATACCACCAACTGCACCATCGTCCACAGGAGTATGCAACGAGACCCAGTCCTGCCAGACTACAGGGACTGCGTAAGTAATGCGATTGGTTATGTTCCATCAGATCGACAGCGGATGGGCCCAGGTCCGTTTCACGGTCCCTCGGAGTACACAGTCGCCAGGCCCTCCATTGCCTCCCCGCTTTTCTCTCGCTGCTCCTTCCAGGGCTCTGGTAACAGAGTAACCAGGAGCTTTGGAACATTGGCTGGCGCCGCTGATGTGAACCCTGTATCAAGCGACTGTCCCTGATTTGTGGCCACGCCCACATGTGTGGTCATTCCCACGGACGGGTGTGTCGTGGACGGTGGGTCCGCGAGCTGCGATGGCACAGTCCACGCGTGCCCGGGAGAAGCCGCAGGGAAAGCCGGCGCGCGGCCAGTCCTTGAGGTCCTTATAGGTCATCTTGGCGTACGTGTAGATGCACTGGGTGTGCACGTTCCCCCTCCGGGGTTCCTGGAGGCGGATGGGCGGATGCCCTGGTGGTGGTCAGGTACTGGCGCACGACAGCGGCGCACGCGGACAGCCAGCGCGGTGGACGACTGCATGCTTGAGCTTGAACGCGGTGGACTGCAGGAGCTCGGCCCTGAACGCGGTGGAATGGTGGGGCCTGTGCGGTCGACGCATGGCAGGAGCGAAAAGGAACCATCGGGGCCGTGGATGGGAGCCGATGCTCCGCTACCACTTGAAAAATGATAAGGTGGATGTTAAGCGGATGCTTTCGAAAAGCAGTGAATCAAACGGAAGTGCACAACGATCATAAAGCGGGCACGGAGGCGGCCGCCTTGGGCCGCAGATGGCGGCGGGAAAACAAGCGGTAGAAGCAGGCAGGGAATATCAAGGTACCGTTCGAGTAATATGAGGAGGAGGAGGAAGGACGTGGCAGAGGAAGAGGATATGACACATAATGGTGAGAAGCTGAGGAAAAGAGGAGGATGAGGATGAGGATGAGGATGAGGAGAAGGATAATGAGGAGGAGGAAGAGGAGGACTAGGATGAGGAGGAGGAGGCGAACGACGACAATGGGAGGTAGGAGGAGGGCGAGGGGGATGATGAGGAAAAACATGAACGAGGATAAGGACATACATCAGGAAGAAAAGGAGGAAAAAGAGGAATGATACAAGAAGGAAAATGATCCCCTGCAGCAGCAGCAGCAGCTGCAGCTGCAGCTGCAGCATCAGCAGCAGCGGGAGGAGACTGAAGAAGAGGAGAAGAAGGAAATGCGGCCGCCCCCGCAATGCTCACCGCAAGATGGTGGAGACGCGGCGAAAGACTACGTCAGCTGCAGCCGCGCGTTTTTCTGGAGCCCGCCCGCTGACCCCTGGGGGTCGTCGCGAGGCTGGCAACTACCACCTGGCGATGCTCGAGGCCCTCTGCGCGGAAGGGTGCGAGAGGAATGGGGGGGCAGAGGAAGAACGGGGAGGGGGGAGAGCTCAAGAGAGGGGGGGGCGAAGGTGAGAGGGAGGTGGGGCAACGCGGGGAGTGGCACCGTTTTGGCGCCCTCTGGTGTCGTCTCGGGGCCACCTTGGGCCGTCTTGGGGTCGTGTTAGCGCTCGGCCTGGGGCCGTCTGGATCCGTCTTGGGCCCTCTCAGGGCGTTCTTGGGCCTCCCTTCGACCGTCTTGGGCGCTCTTGGAGCGCCTGGGATCGGGACAGGCTGGTCGCGACCCAAGCTGCGTCACATCATCCATGTATTAGGGGGCTGATTATATTAACGCAGCGCTATACGGATACACATACACCTGATGTACGTATGTATGTATGCATGCATGAATGCATGGATGTATGTATGGATGGATGGATGCATGTATGTACGTACGTATATATGTATGTATGTGTGTATACATACATGCATACATATACATGCATACATATATCATTGTGAATATGTAGATTCATGTATCCTCTAGAGGCACATTCTAAGCGCACGCCTCTCGAGGCAAGCGCTCTCCCGCTCTAGAATCGCGTGCGCCCCCCTCCAGAGGGCCTCCAAGAAACCCCTCCAGATAGGGTCTTCTGGAGGCACCTCCAGAGACGCTTCTAGAGCCTTCTAGAATCTCCAAACGTGTGTTCCACATGCCTCCACAAGTATCTTCGAATCTAATTGCGCCCCCTAAAGGACGCGCGATCGCCGTTCGCCAATCCCACTTCGACGAAGACGAGATACAGGATGAGGAGGAAGAGGAGCAGGAAGAAAAAAAACGAGGACGGGCTTTAGTGAGCTTCCCTTCTGTGTCGCTCTCCAGAACCCTTCTCGCGCCAACGGCTGGATCCGCCTCCACATTCCGATTCCAACGCGTCCCTCGAGGAGCGCGATCCAAACCCACACCTCGACGGACCTCGCGAGGATCGGTGTTCACTGAGTTTCGTCGGCTCTTCGAGGTACGCTCGCCGCGGCATGCCTTCCAGCAGCTGGGCCTCGCCGACGGCTCTTCGAAGCTGCCCGGACCGCCCCGCGCGGCAACTGGATGCTTGAGCTGCCGCATCCCGACACCGATCCAGACGCGCCGCCGGGAAGCCCCCCGGCTGGGTGTTTCAACGCAGGGCCCAATTTTCGTCGGCTCTTGGGGGGGCACTTTCCGCGGGATGCATGCCAGCAGCTGGGCCTCGCCGAATGCGCTCCCGGCGTGCCCAGATCGCCCTCGAAAGCCTCTGGAGGACCGAGCTGCCGCCTCCAAATGCCGATCGCGACGCATCCCAGGGTGAGCCCCCAACTCGATGTCTCACCCCGCGGCCGAGGCTCCAGGATCGGCCCGCACGACCGCGGGCAGCTCCCTCTGTGCCCCGGCGCACGCGTTTCCCCAGCGGCGCTCGGCCGCGGCGAGAAGGAAGCCCCCCGGGGGCAACAGAAAGCGTTAGGTCGGGCATGTCCTCCTACAGGCGGATTTCGGAAAATTGAAACTAGTAAAAAATGATCATAATCAAAAAAAAAAGAAAAGTCGTCCCCATACTATTTTTGAAAACTATTTTTGAATATTCCTCCTGTAGAGGGACAGGCCCGACTCAAAGAAAGCGTCATATGCCGAATCCCGCAAACAACTTCAACTCCGATGTCTCGCAGACTCTGGGGCTCTGCGCCGGTGCCAGCTGGAGGACGGCGGTGCCAAACAAAAGACTGCAGCAGCGCAGCGAGTAGCAGCTGCGACCGCCTGCCCATCCAGAAACGATGCCCTCCACAGCTGTGGGGGTGGCGTGCAGAATGTCGATTCCCAGGGGGCCTTCGGCATAGACGAGAGGATAGCCGTAGACTGTCAAATGTGGCAGCTCACCATCCAGGACCTGAATCCAGGACTGCGCCCCCATGCACGCGCTCCGCCCGCCCCCACGAGTTCACCAACAAAGGACGTCTCCCAACGAGCGGACGTGCCGTCAACGCCCGCCGGGCCCCTTCTCTGCGATGCCCGCCGCCGCCGCCGCCGCCGCCGTCGTCGTCGTCGTCGTCGTCGTCGTCGTCGTCGTCGTCGTCGTCGTCGTCGTCGTCGTCGTCGTTGCCGTGCCGTGGTCATCGTCGTTCTCGTGGTCGTCGTCGTCGTCGCCGTCTTCGTCGTCGTCGTGTTCGTCGCTGTCGTCCTCGTCGTCTCTGTAACTCTCTCTCTCTGTTTCCCTATCTCTCTCTTTCTCTCTATCTGTCCCTCTGTCTCTCCCTCTCTCTCTCTCTCGCTCTCTAGTTGTGCTAATACCACGAGTGTCTATACACGCAGACAAATGATCTGATCGGACTTCCGGTCCGTGACTGGGGCCCCAGAAAACCCTAAGGCAGCCGCCAATGAGCCCGAGGAGGCCTCCAGGGGCTTTGAAAGCCCCGAACGACGGCCCAGATGGCCCCAAGTTGGCTCGAGATGGGCCCAAGATGGCCCACAGAAGTGCACAAAGGCCCACCAGAGACCCCAAGAGAGCTCCGAGAAGCGTCCCCACAAGGGGCCCCCAGAGGCAAACCTCGCAAATCTATTGCTTTTGACGCTCTTCGCTTTTTCAGCCTGCCGACGCTCCTCGACGGCCCAAAGGCCTCAAAGACCGTCCCAAGCAGGCACAAGAGGTTCCCAGCACAGCACCAGGACGGCCCAAGATGACTTCAAGACGGCCTACTAAGCGCCCAAGACAACCGATGAGGGCCCATGATAATCTCAAACGGCCCCTTGCCCGAGCAATTTCTGGCGCCCCCTTTCGCCGCGCGCGAGTCGGCGCCCCCATGCCAGAGCCACCTAACGAACCAAATGTTCGACGGCGCAGCGTAGCAAGCAGTGTAACACTGGTGTGTGTGTGTGTGTTTGTATATAGGTATATCTGGCATGCATGCATACATTCGTGCATGCAAGCATTCATGCATACATACATAATTACACACATGTCCTCCACAAATATGTACACACACGCGGAACACCTACAATGTAGAGGTGGAATGTCACTATTCCTCCTCATGGGACTGCCACGGGATACCCACTGGAGGACCGTAGCGGGCAACAGTGATGTCGCCAAGCGACAGAACATGAAAAGAGCAGATTGGGTACCTAGAGTGTAATCACGACATGCACAAACATGGTATTGGTTACACATGCGTAAACCCATTATTCTTCCTCCTTTTTCCTCCTCCTCCTCCTCCGCGTCATCCTCTACCATGATGTTCGAATCAAGGCGGACATGGGCTTGGGCCAGACCTTTCGACTGGCCTGGCGAGAACCATCACGTATCGACGCTTTTGTCAAGAACTCTTCCTGGAAAGAGGCTGATTTCATATTGAATGCCTTAACAATCGACGCGCTCACAAGAGGACGCAACCGTGTGCGTGGAAGAAGACGGTACTCACCAGCGTTGAGTTGTAAAAGGAAATCGGTCTCCTCCGCATCCAACTTGCCACCAATGTAGACTGGCAAGTGCGACATGTCGAGCCCAGACTGTGCCTTCAGCCCCTCCTCGAAGTCGTCGCCCAGAATGCTGATCTTCATCTGCATGTCAATCGGCATGAATGCCTGCATCCGCCAGGTGGAGGGAAGAATGGGAGGGATCTGATGTGCGGACAGTGACAGAAGAGAACGAGTGGACAAGAGGATGCGCTCACATCTCTTCTGGCATCCCGCTCTCCTATGCGTCCCTCCATCACTGGGGCTATGTCTGGGGCTAAAGCATATCCAAAGGGCAGCGCACCTCTTGCCAGACGACCAGATAACGTCGAACAGACCCTTGGGGGGGAAAACTTACAGGCCCTCCACTTACACATGACGGCCGCGGCGCCCTCTCGAGAACCGAACACGGACAGTTCACTAATCGACGTGTCAGGGTGGGGGTTCTGTCCACCCCCCATTTCTGGATCCTAATCCTTACTCGTCGTCGTCGCCCCCTCCTTTCCCCTCCTCCGCTTGCTCCTGGTCTCGCGGCTCCCCCCGCTCCTTCCGCTCAAGTGTCCGCTGCTGCTGTTCGTCCTCGTCCTCGTCGTCGTCCTCATCTTGATGAGCTCGTCGTCGTCCTCATCGTCGTCGTCGTGAACTCGCGATTTCACTGATTTTAGCCCTCGTCGTCGTCCTCCTCCTCCTCCTCCTCCTCTTCTTCTTCTTCTTCTTCTTCTTCTCCTCTCTTCCTCTCCTCCTCCCCCGCGCTCCTCCTCCTCCTCCTCCTCTCTTCTTCCTTCTCCTCCTCCTCCTCCTGCGCCTCGTTCTCCGTCTCCTCCTCCTCCTCCTCCTCCTCCTCCTCCTCTCCAACGGCTCTCTCTCTCTCTCTCTCTCTCTCTCTTCACCCCCGCCAATCCATGATCGAAGGGGCTGCTGGAGGCGGGGCAGGGAGGGAAGCGACGCGACCACCAGCTCGTGAGGAGTGCCCCCCCTCCTTCCGAAAGAGCGAATGGCCGGCCCGTGCGCCAGGATCGCCAATCACTAACCCCAGGCCCTGCGGAACGAACATACTAAGCCAACCTGTGTCACCACTCCGCCTCCACACGGGGCGCAAATCGTAGCGGCCAGGGGGAGGGCACCTAAAGTCTAATCTCCTCAGAAAAGAAAACATTAATGTCAATGATGGGTTCCGCGGACGGGTGGCTGTACGCAGCGCCGCACACGAGCCTCAGTTTCACGGGCGGGTCCAGGAACCACAGCGCCGCACGCGAGCCCATCCAATCACAAAAATGCTGGCGAACACATGCGATGTGTGGCACGCTCTCGGCAGGGCAGTCAGGAACAACCAAGTGGAGTCACTTGGAGATTGTGCTGAAAGCGATTCCCACACTTCTGAGCAGCAGCATCTACATCTAAGGCCTCATCGACGGAGCGCCGTTCCTTGGCCAGCAATCGATCTCGCTTGGCTTCGAAGGGCTGCTTCCAAGGGTCGTCGGACTCGAAGGTGCGTAATGCATCTGTGTGCCGCGTCTCCAGTGGTGCCAGCCTCTCCCTACCCAGCAGCTTCTCGCGCTTGGCTTTGAAAAAGGCTGCTTCACACGCACATCCCGCTCGAAGAGGCGAAGCGTGTCGAAGTGCAACGTCTCCAACGTGACAAACCCAGCTGCACCTTTCCTGAGCTTGCTGCCCGCACCCTCCAGCGAGTTGCCAAGTGGTCGCGCTACTGCGTGCACTCGCTCTGCTCCGAGCTGCTCCGTGACTCCGATCTGATCACAAAAAAACAGAGCTCCACAGGTGCATCTCATCAGGCAGGGCTCCTCCGTGGCTGGCGGCAGCGGGGTCCAATGCCCAGCGCCTGGACAGAAGCTATCCGCCTCGGCACGCAAACCAGACGATGCACTGTCGCCATTCTTGAGCTCGATGACCTGTCTGCCAGCCTTGGCCAGCAAAGAGCTCTCCATGACTGCTGCTCGCCACGCGCCGACTCCGATGAGGTCGCGTGATGGGCATCCGCCCTGGCGCTGCAGTAGCTCACGCGAACTGGGGACCATCGTGTCCTCCACGCAGTGATCGGCGCCGACGCCTCCAAGGCGAGGACGTTTCTGTGCCTGGCGCCACTGTGCAAGCGGCGCTCCTTTGCGAAGACGCCGCTTGGGGTGCAGGGCCACTCTCTGGATGAGCTTCTCCGCCCCCCGCGCCGTGCAGCGGGCCACCTCCGCCATCGAAACGGGTCTGGGCCTCATGGCGAGACACGTTCGCGCAGACGCCGACAGCTGATGATGCCGCCGTTTGCAAAATAAACGCCCACTTGTAGAGGGCCAGGGCGCCCCGCCCCCGCGCGCCGTATCTCAGTGTTGGCCAACGAATGCGCCAAAAGGGAGCGCGACGTGTTGCGAAATAAACGCCCACTTCTGCGTGGGGGCACGGCTTCCTCGTCAACCTGGAAATGCGGGGGAAGGGGGCGAACTTTGTCGTCTCGTCACCGATACCTGAGATGCGCATCCTGCAGCTCCCGTGCCCGCCGAAAATCTCCGCGAATCACTCGGAGCTCTCCCGTGAGCCGCCGAACCACGTCCCCGGCAGAGGTGGGCGCCCCTGCCCTGCTCCATCAGCACGCCATGCGGCGCCGAGGAAGCGCACGCGGCAGACGTGCTCGCACCACCAGGCCGCCGAGCAGGGGGGCGAGCTAGCTTCGGGCGCCTCCTCCTCCTCCTCCTCCTCTCTTCCTCTCCTCCTCCTCCTTCTCCTCCTCCTTCTCTTCCTCCTCCTTCCCCTCCTCCTCGTTCTCCTCCTCCTCGTTCTCCTCCTCCTCCTCCTCCTCCTCCTCATCATCCCTCTGACAGCATGACGTGGGGCAAGGAACGTGACCGTGAGAGCGTCACAGCGGAAATCGGCACGGTCTGGCGGCATGGCATACGCCCCGAAACGAGATTGTGAGGACCAGATAGATTGTGGTGAGGAAATCCTGGGCGAAATCGCCAGGACCCGGTTGCTTCTGAAAACGTGTATCGAAGGCACCGAGCCATCAGCCAGCAATCCCGCGGACTGTTTATGAAATGCGGCTCCCGCTCGAGACTCCTGGTTCTCTCTCCGCCTCTCCCCCTCATGATCCTCTCTCTCGGCTCTCTCTCCGCCGCCACCTCGTCGTCGTGTTCCTCTGCTAGTTCCCTCTCCGCCCCCTACTCTTCCTCACGATATTCTCTCCTGGCCCTCCTTCCGCCGCCCCCTCCTCCTCCTCACGTTCTCCTCTCCTCTCCTCCTCCTCCTCCTCCTCCTCCTCCTCCTCCTCCTCCTCCTCCTCCTCCACAATTACTCATTATGAATACTACTCTCCTCCTTCCCCTGATGACGGGTTGGGAATGTTCGCCCCCCCCCTCCCGCGTACTGTTTTTTTACACAGGATTCCCCGGAATTGGGTTTTCGCTTGCATTTTTTCCAAAATGCTGCTCTCGCTGAGGCGCCGGCCTCATTTTCGGGCCCCGCTCGTTCCGAATCGTGCTCCCGCTGCAGCGCTGGCCTCATTTCCGTGCTTCCGCTCGTTCCGAATCGTGCTCCCGCTGCAGCGCTGGCTTCATTTCCGCGCTTCCGCTCGTTCCGAATCGTGCTCCCGCTGCAGCGCTGGCGTCATGTCCCGTCCCATGCCACGGCATGCAATGCAATGCTAGGTTGCGTTCCGCTGCGCGATGCCATGCCTTCAGCTGAAGTTGTGATATGCAGTGCTTAAGTGCCACGTCGTGCTATGCCATGCTACGCTTCGATCTGCAACGCCATGCGATGCAATGTTATGTTCGGGGCCGCTGTGCGATGCAATGCTTTGCGTTGTGAAGCTTTGTGATGCACTTCTTCACTACGCCACGCCACGCCATGCTGTGACATACTACGCTTTGCGGTGCTCTTCTACGCCATGCCATGCCGTGCTCTACAATGCATCGCGTACCCTTTCGGGATCATTGACCTGATCGACATCCGACTGTGCGAGTAGAGAGGGGATCTACGCCATGGTAGGGGATTGGAGGGAGGGGTAGGATGTCAGATATGACGCGAGCGCACCTGGCTTGTCCAACTCCCCCTCCTCCTCCTCCTCCTCCGCCTCCTCCTCCTCATCACCATCCTCAACCCCTCATCGTCAGAACCACCATCACCACCACCACCATCATCATAATCATAATCATCATAATCATCATCATCATCATCATCATCATCATCATCATCATCATCATCATCATCATCATCATCATCACCATCACCATCACCATCACCATCACCATCACCACCACCCACATAATCGTCATCATAATCATCATCATCATCATCATCATCATCATCATCATCATCATCATCATCATCATCATCATCATCATCCAAATCATCATCATCCAAATCACCATCATAAACATCATCATCATCCAAATCATCCAAATCATCCAAAGCATCATCATAATCATAATCATCATCACCACCAAATCCCTCCTCCTCCTACTCCTCCTCGTCCACACCACCACCACCATCATCACCATCATTGTCATCATCATCATCATCATCAGCAGCATCATCATGATCATGATCATCATCATAATCATCATCACCATCACCATCACCATCATCACCATCATCATCATCGTCGCCATCAATATCAGCAGCAGCAACAGCATCAGCATCAACATCAGCATCAGCATCATCTGAACCATCATAATCACCATCATCATCATCAGCACCATGATCATGATCATCATCATCGTCATCATCATCATTATTATTATTATTATTATTATCCTCATCACCATCGTGATCGTGATCGTCATCGTCATCGCCATCGTCATCGGCATCGTCATCGTCATCCTTCTCCTCACGTTCTCCTCTTCCGGATTGCCGGTTCTCCCCTTTCCCCTTTTCCATCCGCCTCCTCCTCCTCCTCATCATCATCATCATTTTTTTCCTCCTCTGCTCCTCCTCCTCCGCCTCCGCCTCCTCTTTCTCCTCCTCCTCCTCTTGGTTCCCCTCCAGAGCCACCCAACAGGTCCCCAAGAGGCTACCAAAATCATCAGAATCATCATAATAATCATCATCATCGTCATCATCCTCATCCTCATCCTCATCCTCATCCTCATCCTCATCCTCCTCCTCATCCTCATCATCAGCACCATCACCATCACCATCACCATCACCATCACCATCACCATCACCATCACCATCATCATCATCATCATCATCATCATCATCATCACCATCATCACCATCACCATCACCATCACCATCACCATCTTCATCATCATCATCATCATCATCATCATCATCATCATCATCATCATCATCATCATCATCATCATCATCATCATCATCATCATCGTGATCGTGATCGTGATCGTGATCGTGATCGTGATCGTGATCGTGATCGTGATCGTGATCGTGATCGCCCTCGCCATCGCCATCGTCATCCTCCTCCTCACGTTCTCCTCTACCGGTTCGTCGGTTCTCCCTTTTCCCTTTTTCCATCCGACTCCTCCCTTTTCTCCTCCCTTTCCCTCCTCCTCCTCCGCCTCCTCTTCCTCCTCCTCTTCCTCCTCGTCCCCCTCCAGAACCTCCCAACAGGCCCCCAAGAGGCTACCATAATCATCATAACCATCATAATTATCATAATGATCATCATTATTATAATGATCATAATCATCATGATCATACTCATCATCATAATCATCATCATAGTCATAGTCATCGTAATCATCACCATCATCAGTATCATCAACATCTCCATCACCATCAGCATCATCACCACCACCACCATCATCATCATCACCACCACTTCCACCACCACCACCATCATCACCATGATCATCACCATCATCATCGTCATCATCATCGTCATCATCGTAATCACTATCATCATCGTCATCATCATCGTCATTGGCATCGTCATCGTCCTCCTCCTCACGTTCTCCTCTCCCGGTTCGCCGATCCTGCCTGTTCCCTTTGTCCATCCGCCTCGTCCTCCTCCTCCTCCTCCTCCTCCTCTTCCTCTGCCTCCGCCTCCGCCTCCTTTTCCTTATCCTCCTCCTCCTCCTCCTCCTCCTCCTCCTCCTCCTCCTCCTCCTCCTCCTCCTCCTCCTCCCTGTCCCCCATCCAGAGCCTCCCAACATGCCCCCAAGATGCTACCAAAATGCCGCCAAACTACCTCCCAGAGGCTCCAGAATCAGTGAACTCGCTAATTCACTGATTCTGGAGCCCCCCAAAAGGCCCTCAAGAGGCTCCCAAAAGGCCCCCAAACTACCTGCCGAGACGACGAAAAACTACCCCCCCCAAGATGCCCCTAAGAGGCTTGAGAATCCGTGAACTCGCCAGTGCACTGAGTCTGGAGCCTCCCAACAGGGCCCCAAGAGGCCCTCAAAAGGCTCCACAACTACCCCCCAAGAGACTTCCAAGATGCCCCCAAACTACCCCCCAACCGGCACCCAAGAGGCCCCAAAGCCCCCAAGAGGCTCCCAAGAGGCCCCCAAGTTATCCTTCGAAGAAATTAATGAGCTCGCTAGTTCACTGATTCTGGATTTCGGTTTTCCGCAAATCAGTGAGCTCGGAAGTTCACTGATCTTGACTTCTGGATTCATTCATTTGCCCTTCCTGGCCCCCGCCCTGTCCCCTCCATTGGTCTCCCCTGTTGACAGGGGGGACAGGGAGGGGGATCCCCGGTCCCCCCTGCGCACAGTGAGGACAGGGGGGAAGGTTCCCCTCGGCTCCCCCCCTTCCCCTCCCTGGCCCCTCCCGTGGACAGGGGGGACACGGGGGAAGGCGCCTCCCCCTGCCGCACGGGGGGAGGTCTCCCCGTGCCCCTCTCCCTTACTTCCCCCCCCCCCCCCCTGTGGACAGGAGGGACGAGGGAGGGGGTCCTCCCGGCCCCCCCCCTGCCCATCCTCTCCCCGGTCCCACCCCCCTGTGGACAAGGAGGAAAGGGGTGCGGGCCCCCCCTTGTGGACCAGGGGAACTCGAGACCTCTCCCCGTGTGCACAAAGCGGACAGGGGAGGGGCCTTCCATGTGAACAAGAGACCCCCTCTCCCGCCTCACCCCTGTGGAGAAGGGGACAAAGGGACCATCCCCTCTGAGTGGGTCGCCAGCGGCTCCTGGACCTCGGTCCTTCAGCCCCCCACCCAGCAATGTCCGAGGTCCCGCCTGGATCGGCGGCACCTGCCGTAAGGCCTTTACAATATTGATGCGTGCATGGCACGGTCTATTCACATTAACTTCCCAACCCGTGGAACTATGACCGAACTGGGCGGGCGGTTCCGTCAATCCGCCCCACCATTGATTCTCGGATGTGTCCATGTATCCATTCAATCGACCATCTAGCGGGTCCATCAATCCACGTGTCCATGGACGACGCGACGAGGGTGGATAGACAGGATCAAGATATGGAGCGAGACAGTCGGCGCATGGATGATGGATAAGACTGCCCAATCATCCGCCTGCCCATCCACAATGGATGGGTGTGTAGTCGGATCTAAAATCCAGAGCTTGAAGGGTACTTACATGGACCAATCTGTCCCTGCACCGATGCAGGGAAGACAGGGTCCGTGCGGTTCGTTCGTGTAACCATTGCAATGCAAACGTCCACCCGTTGATATATTGGCCTATCCACTCATGCCTCTCATGTGTGGCTATATACCCGTGCTGTGGCCCTTCTGGGATTCCCGGATTGGAGCCTCATGACGAAACTGCCGCCTGCAACACAGCACGTTCCGTACTCTGGAAGTGCTGCTGGGTCTCACCGTCACCTAGTGGCTGAGGCAGTACACGCAGAAGGTATGCCGCATGTGACCGTGGAGCGAACTCATACCGAAAACACTCGTGCCAACTCAACATGTACAATTTCGAACCATGCGCGATACCTTGACCAAGCTGTAGACAAATCCCACCACTGGTGGCGCTCGAACCACCGTCACGGAGGCAGTCACGTCGGGAAAGTATAGCTGTCCGATTCTCGTGGCCTGGTCGCAGAACAAATGGAAGGCATGCCATAATAGCTCCAGCAAAGATCAAGTAAGCATCTGGCGCACGACCCCCCTGGAGGGATTACCAATACCCATGTCTAAACGAAGGATATGCTGGGGAGGTGGGAAGTCAACAGGGAGATGACGACGAAACTCAGAAACGAATGATACTGTACCAGATGCACTGGGACAGTTCTCTGCACTCAGTGAACTGCTCACATCAATCTGCTCAGCTGTAGGCATTACTCTCGTGCTCACGCCAGTGTAATGATTGACCTGAGTACGCATTATGGAACACATAGTGCGGCGATGTCTGTTTCTTGTTGGACAATTGTCTGCCTGGGAATGGCTACGCGAGGGCGTCCGAACGATGCAACTGCAATGCTCTGTCTACCTTTTGGCAGGCACAAGGTGAGGGCATAGGGAGGTTTCGCGCTGGATTCGGCGGAGAAGGGAGGAGGAGCAGGAGGAGGAGGAGGAGGAGGAGGAGGAGGAGGAGGAGGAGGAGGAGGAGGAGGAGGAGGAGGAGGAGGAGGAGGAGGAGGGGAGGAGGATGAGGAGGAGGGAGGAGGAGGAGGAGGAGGAGGAGGAGGAGGAGGAGAAAGAGGACGAGGAGGAGGAGGAGGAGGAGGAGGAGGAGAAGGACGAGGAGGGAGGAGAAGGAGGAGGACGCGGAGGAGGAGGAGGAAGAAGGAAGGGGAAGGAGGAAGGGGAACGCGTCGGGCAGGGAGCTGGGCGAGGAGGTCAGCAGCGGAGTGAGTGCCTAAGCAGATGCGGCGCGACCACTGGAAGGGATCATCGCGTAGGGAAGCCAATCAGAAAAAGGCAAGGAACGAGGGACCGCTGCTTTCCTGCTGGCGTAGCACGCTGGGACCCTGGCTCGACACGGCCGAAAAACAAACCACAACTGAACGACTGGGCTTTGAGTGCATATAATGCTCGTTTACGCAAGGCAGTACAGTCGGACCTAGGCCAGAAGAGCATCCTTCAAGAAGATGGGACCCTCCGCCAGCCAAGACACAGAGAACATCCTAGGGTACCAACCGCAGGATGCACACGAACATCCAACAAGCACGAAGAACATTAGGGTACTCTCCCCGAGCCGACCTCGATCTTATAGTCTCGGTCCGACTGTAACACTCGTGGCAACAGAGGGCATTATGGGAAGGAGAGGGGCGGGCTATGCCGTAACGCCCCCCGCGCCCCCCCTGCGCAATGCGCCCCCGGTACAGCCAGAGCGCTCGCGCGCACCGTAGCCCTGTGGTGAACGCGCGGACGCGGCGCTTGCACGCGCTGCAATATGCCCGCGAGCACCTGCGAGCACAATTTGGGCGCGAATGAATGGGGGGGGGCGATGAATGGGGGGGCAGCGAGGGCTGCAGAAAAGGGGATCTTGAGAGCCCACGAGGGAGTCGGGAGTCTGTACGGCCCGAAAAGGGCACCTTTCTCTCCCCCCACATTTATCTCCCTTCATTAATTCGCGCCAGAAAACGTGTGATTGTGGCCACCTGTTGACAAGGAGAAGGACGACAGACCTTGACAGAACCACTACAGCCTTGTGAGCGCCAGCGTACGCAACAGCATGCCGCACTCTGCCGATGCCATGCTCACGTGAGCAGAGCAGCCTGCGAGCACATACTACGCGCGCTGGTGCAATGTACACTGTAATCGCCATGCTAGCACGCGAACGCGGCGACATGACTGCGAGCACACAGACTTTCCAGTCAACGCCCAATTCGCTTGCGAACACCACGACGCGCCTGTGAACACCTCGGAGGAACACCAGCACGAGAGCAGGGACCGGGAGCAGAATAAACAGGAGGGGTCTCAGGAATGCAGGGAAGGGGCAGACGAGAGAGGGCAGGGAATGGGAGGAAGACTACGCGCCCCCCCGCTTGTTCGTCAGCTGGTTCGGAAACTTCAGAACCACAGGCGAGACGCGCACATCACAAACTCGCGGACAGGCACGGCGGCTGAAGACATGAGGCTGGGCGAAGGCAAGAAGGGGAGGGCGAGAGGAGTATAGAGGAAAGAGGAGGATAAAGAGGAGTCCAAGCGGACATCGGAAAATACAACGCCAGTGAGAATATGCAAGAGCGCGGAACTACCGGCGACGACCTCCGCTACCCGCGGCAAAGGAGGATGGCCGCTGGAATCTGGAAAGCCGTCTTTGAATGCATGCACAGTGCAGCTCCCAGAATGCGTCTTTCATTCGCCCCCCCAATCCCTTCCATGTCTCCTCTTTCATAGTGCAACTCCGAATTATTCCTCATCTTCTACCTTCGCGTCATACGTCAAACGTCCCCACTCATGCTAGATGTAACGCGCGCTCTAGCACTGAAGGGGCAAAACAACTTGAGTGGCTTTCTCAATGCGCATTGAGTGTGATCTGCAATCAGACCTGCTCAGACCTGTCTTTGCTCTGCGAGAGACCCTGCCAAAACATCTCCAAGTCGCCATCTGCCCACACAGGTACACGCTTGGCTGCATGTCCCCCATCCTTACCAGCCGTATCCGCCTCCTCTCCCTCCCCCTCCCTTTCCCTCTCCCGCGCCTCCCCTCTTCCTTCCCCTTTCCCCCCCCCCTCTTCTCCACCTGCCGCTCCCCTATCCACCCCGCCACCGACTCTCCTCCTCCTCCGCCTCCTCCTCCTCCTCCTCCTCCTCCTCTCCTCCTCCTCTTCCTGTTCCTCCTCCTCCTCCTGTCCTCCTCCTCCTGCTCCTCCTCCTGCTCCTGCTGTCCTCTGGCGCTGGCGGGGACTCGCCGACCAGCTCGCGCAGCCGGGCGGTGGCGACCCTGAAAGTGAAGAAGGCATCCACGGCCGCCAGCTGCGAGTCTCCGGTGCCTCGGAACGCAGACCACGGGCGCAGTCCGCTGGCCCACCGCTCGCCCTCCCAGCTCGCCACCGCCGCCGCCTTCCCTCGTCCTCCTCGTCCTCTCGTCCTCCTCGCTTTCCTCGTCCTCCTCCTCCTCCTCCTCCTCCTCCTCCTCCTGTCCTGTCCCCCCTCCTCGTCCTTCTCCTCGTCGTCCTCTTCCTCCCCCTCGTCCTCCTCCTCCTCCTCCTCCTCCTCGTCCTCCTCCTCCTCCTCCTCTTCCTCCTCCTCGTCCTCCTCTTCGTCGTCCTCTTCCTCTTCCTCATCCTCCTCCTCCTCCTCCTCCTCCTCCTCCTCCTCCTCTCCGCCCCCCCGGCACCCGACCCCTGACGATCCCTGACGGCCCCGCTCCCGCCCTCTTCTCTCTTTATCGCCGTCTCGCCACCGCCGCAGCCTTCCCTCCCCTCTTGGGTCGGTGCTGGACCCTGGCGCGCTGGCGGCGCCCAGCGACAGTCTAAGAAATCCGCTCGGACCCCCGAAAATTTGTGTCGATGCCGTTGTCCGTCGTCAGTCGTCCGTCGTCGTCCGTCATCCGTCGTCCGTCGTCCGTTGTCCTTCGTCGTCCTCGTCGTCGTCGTCGTCGTCGCCGCCGCCGCCGCCGTCGTCGTCGTCGTCGTCGTCGTCGTCGTCGTCGTCGTCGTCGTCGTCGTCGTCGTCGTCGTCGTCGTCGTCGTCGTCGTCCTCGTCCTCGTCGTCGTCCTCTCCTCTCCGCCCCCTGGCGCCCGACCCTTGACGATCCCGGACGGCCCCGCTCCCGTCCTCTTCTCTGCTTCGCCCTCGCCCGCCTCTCCCCTCGCCCTGAGGAGGCCTGGGAAGCCAGGCGCCCGCGCTCGCAAGGCCGCGCTCCCTCGTGAATTACCGTGCGCTCGCGCCCCCCTGGGCCGCGCTCCCTCGTGAACTGCGCTGCGTCCGCGCGTTGAGCTGCACTGTCAATGCCTCTTTCTCCTGGGGCTTTGCGCGCTCCTGCTCGTCAACACGTGTCACGTGTGCGAAGCTACACTGTCGACGCCGCGCTTTCCTGTGGCTGTGGCTTTGCTGTGTTCCTGGCCGCGCTCCTTCGTGAATGACGCTGTGCGTCCTCGCTCCAGGTGTCGGAAACAATCGAGCAACCCTCATGCAGAACATATGGCTCGAACTCCCCCCCCACTCCCCCCAAATGCGATGTTGGTTTCGGATCTTCCGATTTTGGGGCGCCGAGTGGTCTTCAAAGGAACGTGCCAACTTGGAATTGCGGGGGAACGGGGAGTGTTGCTTCATTTCTTCCCTCACCCGTCCCAAGGCGGCGAGCTCAGCGGATGGGAGCCAGCGCAGTCCCTCTCTCTTTTTCTTTCATGCTCCCTGGTGGACGTAGGACACTTTTCCCACTTGTAAGAAACAACACGTAACATCCAAATATGGATAGGTCGATCGCGATCACGGAGGGAAACGCACTCAGCCAGGGAGTACTCAATCGAATCGGAGTTCGCAGTTCAGGATTGAAATCACACGGAAGGCGCTGCGCCTTGCCTGACCCTGATTATGTGTCATCTACAGAACGATGTGACCCAATCTGCCAAGATGCAGAGGAAGGAAGTGATGTAGAACGTATATTATAAGACTTTGGCCTCGTGCACGGCGAGCTTTGCTTTGCCATCGGCATGCGTTTTGCGTCCAAGCCAGAATGAGCGCGTCGACAAGCCACGCTTCAGACTAATCTCGGCGGCGAACGGGCGACGACCGGTCGTCCCTCGAGTGAAACCAAGGTCTGTTGCTGGCGAGCAGCGACATGGTCCGAAACTGCATTCCACTGCGACTCGAACGTGCCCTTGAGCGCTGTGATTTCACGTGATATCGGAACCCTTGGCCACGGCGTTGGCGGGGACTGCAGCAAGACTCGACATCTGTGGCATGGTGCATTGTGTGAATGTGAAATTCTGCAGGCGCAATCCTCCTACACTGAGAAATGCCGTGATGTAACATGATATCGCTGGTCTGGGCAAGCCTTTTGTGAGGATCACCGCGCGCTGTACTGTGGTGAGCGAAGTGGTGCTTCGCCGTAGCGACCCTGCTTGAGTGCAACAGGGTTGAGAAAAACAACGGCGCAAGGAGCCCACACTGGCTTTGGCCAAAAAGGGATGCGAAGGAGGAGGAGCTCTGGCAGGAGGAGAAGGACGAAGAGGACGACTGCTTTCGACCCTCGGTGCAAGCCAAACGACGGGCAACTGCAGCAGCGATTGGCGCGACCCCCCCCCCAGCGTCTGACGAAGACAAGCCGCGTGCTCCGCGCAACCGGCGCCGCCGCAGCGCTGCCGATGGCCGGTTTTTTAAGGCCAGAGCTGCTGCCGGCCATGTCGGCACGGTGCACGAGGTACCTGGTGTGGCACCTGATATCGGGTGGGCTGGGGATGCTTGCGCGTCCTCGCCCCGCTCTGCTGCCGCAGGCACCAGCCCGCGGTGCCTCGTCGACCTTCTCCCTCGCTCCTCTGGCGAATGTGAAGGGCATGTGCTCCGACGTCCTCCACCTCCTCCTCCGCCTCCTCCTCCTCCTCCTCCTCCTCCTCCTCCTCCTCCTCCTCCTCCTCCTCCTCCTCCCCCTCCTCCTCTTCCGATTTTTCGTTCCGTGCCTCCCTCCCGTTCCCTGCAGCTCTGCGCAGCGCGTTCTTGGAACTGGCGGTGCGAAATTCTGATTCAGCGTGAGAGAAGACATGACTCACCTGGGACAACCCTTGGAAGCGTTGGACCGGCTGCAGGTCTCTGGAGGGCCTCTGTGGCCATGGGAGCGGCTTGAGGGGAGAGGATGACGTCTTGGGAGGCTGTCCTGAAGCCCTCACGGGGGCCTCTTGGGTTGCCCGGGCGCGTAGGCCGCTGGCCCTGCTGCTGCTGGATCCGCTGCTGCTGCTGCTGCTGCTGCTGCTGCTGCTGCTGCTGCTGCTACTGCCGTCAGAGGGTCTCGGTACACTTTTGGACTTGAGCCTCTCTTGGGGCTTCTCGTGCTCTTCTTGGGTCTGTTCTTGGGGTCTGCGCTTTCTCTCTGAATTTCCGCCGTCTGGGCGGCATCATGGCGCCTTGTTGGGCTGTCATGGGTCCGACTGGCACCAGCAGAGCAATAAGGGCATTCAGGAAACCTGGGTATCGAACAGCAAGGGCTTCCAGGAGACCAGGGAGGGCCGTGGGAGCCAGAGGGGGCTGACCCCTTCCCTGCCACGAAAACCTGCCCAGCAGAATGTATGTGTGAATGCCAATATGTATGTACATACATGTACACGTGTATCAGCATGTGCAAACAAACGTCGACGAGTACACCAGGGCATTCGTTACACTATGTATGTATACATACATATGTGCATACATGTAAAATCCACATACATATATATATATATATATATGTATATATATGTATGTACACACATTTGTATATATATATATATGTATGCATTCATAGTCGTGTACATATGTACACTCAGAGACCCTGTGCTAGACACATATACATACACGTTTGGTCGCCCCCTGGTATCATACCATTCGCCGTTCTGCGAACGGCGACTGCGAACGGCGAATGATATGATACCAGAGGGGGGGGGGAGGAGTGGGGGGGAGAGGAGTAGGCGGAGGAGACGGAGGATAATGTTTTTTCCTTTTTTCTTCCTCCCCGCCCTCGGAGGCGGAGTTATTTCTCCTCTTTTTCCCGGTGAAATAAACATTTTTTATAAAAATTACTCCGACGGAAGGACCCCACATGAGAATCCTCTGGGCGAATCTGGAAAAAACGCTCACCGTCGTCCCCGTGGTTGGTGAGGCGTCCTGACTGTCTCTTCTGCGTATATTTCTTCTCGCCTTGGCGCGGCCCCCCCCCCGCTCTCTACGTTGCCCCCGACCTCGCCCTCCTGTTTTTTCGCGCCCCGCCACCGCCTCGCCTTTCCATTGCACGAGCGCGCATGTCGGTTTTCCTCGGCGCCGTCGCCGCCTCGGCCAGCACAGGCGCGTTCTCTAATGGCCACGTCGCGCAGCCGTTGGGACAACCCCGAGGGCCAGGCTGTCGGGGCAACCCCGCGAGCCGCTTGCGCGCAAGACCAAGCCGTTGGGACAACCCCGCGGGCTTCGAGCGGGGCGCAGCCGCGCTCAGGCGGGCAGCACGAAGCCCAGCTCTGCCGCGAGCTGTTCCGCCTCCGCCCTGGACAAAACCGCTCTCTTGTCGAACTCCAGGAGCGCCTTCCACAAGGACGCTGGCGGCCCTCGCTCCAGAAACTCCCGCGGCGGCGGCCGCAGGATCAGCGCGTTCCGCACGCACGTGGCGCGGGAGAGCATGACGTAGAGGTGCAGCCACCACTGCTCGTCAGACATGCCCGTGCGGCCAGCGTCCTCGTCTCTCCCGCAGTCGATGGTGACGCCTTTGCGCAGCGTCTGGCCCTGCGACAGCGTGGAGGTCAGGTAGGACGCGTGGGTCAGGGTCAACCCCGAGCGGCGCACGTTGTGCGGCCCCGAGCTCTGCCATGTGAACTCCTTTTCGCTGGGCCTGAACATCAGCAAACTCCGCGCCCGCGCCTCGGCCTGGCCGTCGTCGTCGGCGTCTTCGGCGCCCTGTCGCAGCACCTCGGCGACCTCCTGGTAGATCGGAGACTCCTTGAAGCCGCGCACCTGCAGCCAGATTCCCTGCGGTAGGAAGCGGGGGCGAAAAAGCTGGCCTGCCGAGCGCTCGTGCCGCTGCTCGTCCTCGTGGTGGAACTCGAAAGACACGATGGTGGCCCGTTGCTCCTGCACGAGCCCCAACTTCTTCTTCAGCTCTTCCTGCGCTGCCGTGAACCGCACCTCCATGCCGACGTGGGCCGGCAAGACGCCGTGGATGTCCCCCGTCTTGTGCATGTTCGGGACGTTCAGGGTCTAGAGCGGGAGCCTTTGCAGGTTCCCTCTCCAGGCAAACGAACGCAGGAGAAGGAGCCTTTGCAGGTTCCCCCTCCCGGGTCTAGAGCGGGAGCCTTTGCAGGTTCCCTCTCCAGGCAAACGAACGCGGGAGAAGGAGCCTTTGCAGGTTCCCTGTCCCGCGGCTAAAGCGGGATCCTTTGCAGGTTCCCTCTCCAGCCCCGCCGCTGTCTCGTCATCGTCGTCGTCGTCGTCGTCGCCATCGGCCATAGGAGCTCTCGTCATGGAGCATTCTCTGCTCCACTCCTTCATCACACCCCTTTATCAGAAACCTCATGGGAGGAACTTCACACGCGCCGTGCGCCAATTGGCTGAAGGAAGAGAAATGGCGACAGGACAGAGCGATGTCACAGACGTGCCCGTGTGTTTGACCACGCAGGCTGGGGTAAATAGGAAGTACCGATGTACGATGCCGCTGCTGAGCAGCGCGGTACCGATACTCAATCCTCCTTTTCCTCTTCCTCCTCCTCCTCTACTCCCTATATCTGCTTATCATCCGCCACCGCGCAACCTGGCACGTTGAGGCGTGCTACAATGAGGCGTGCCAGAATGCCACGTGCTGTCTAGCAAAGTTTTTGGAGTCTTCTAAGAGCCCCCCGCATTTACTGGCGCCGGCATGCGCGCGCCCGCGCACAGCTTCGACCGAAAACACCAGATATCCCCAAAAACCACACCGAAAACCATGAAAACAAATTGGCGTTAGCGGCCCCTTATTCACAAGGGAAATACATGTAATGTGCGAAGATTTCGGCCGAGAATGGGTTCCCACCCCCGGCCCGGACGCAAGGGGCTACCCCTGCCCCCGATTCGGCCGCCGATGGGTTACCACCGGCGGCCCGGAGACAAGGGGTTACCCCTGCCCCCGATTCGGCCGAGGATGGGTCACCACCCCCAGCCCGGATGCAAGGGGCTACCCCTGCGCCCGATTCGGCCGCCGATGGGTCGCCACCGGCGACCCGGAGACAAGAGGTTACCCCTGCCCCCGATTCGGCCGAGGATGGGTTACCACCCCCAGCCCGGACGCAAGGGGCTACCCCTGCGCCCGATTCGGTCGCCGATGGGTCGCCACCGGCGACCCGGAGACAAGAGGTTACCCCTGCCCCCGATTCGGCCGAGGATGGGTCACCACCCCCGGCCCGGACACAAGAGGTTACCCCTGCGCCCGGCCGCTGTCTCGTCGTCGTCGTCGTCGTCAGCTCCTCAGTCGCCCTTTGGAGCAAGCAAGCCCATGACAGCCATATTCAGGCCGCGGGGACCCAAAAGTGACGACAGGCATACGAATTCCGAGGACCCTCCTCGGATTCGAAATTCACAAATGTGGCCCGGGAATGACGCTCTGGGAACACGACGAACACAAAGTGGCCTACAGTTGGCTCCGGACATCCAGAATGTGGCCCGGGAATGGTGTTCTGGGAACAGGAAGAACACGAAGTGGCCTACAATTGGCTCGGGGGTTTCAAAATGTGGCCCAGGAGTGGTGTTCTGGGAACACGAAGAACACGAGGTGGCCTACAGTTGGCTCCGGGCATGCACAATGTGGCCCGGGAGTGGCGTTCTGGCAGCGCGAGAGCCCAAAAGTGACGACGGTTTGGATGACCCGCTCGGATTACCAACATGATCTGCGGGCCCCATAGGGAGGGGGCTCCCGCCTGAGACTTCCTCACAATTCACTCACAGACGAGGCTCCCGCCTGAGACTTCCTCCAAATTCAGGCCTGAAGAGCCCAAAAGTGACGACAATACAAGGTTTGGATGACCCGCTCGGATTACCAACATGAAGCGCGGGCCCCATAGGGAGGGGTTCCCGCCTGTGACTTCCTTGCAATTCACTCACAGACGAGGCTCCCGCCTGAGACTTCCTCCGTACTCAAGCTTGAGGAGCCCAAAAGTGACGACAGTTACAGGGTTTGGATGACCCGCTCGGATTACCAACATGATCTGCGGGCCCCATAGGGAGGGGGCTCCCGCCTGAGACTTCCTCACAATTCACTCACAGACGAACTCCCGCCTGAGACTTCCTCCAGGTGAGTATGTGAATGAGTGAGCGTGTGACAGAGTGCGAGTGATGATGATGATGATGATGATGATGATGATGAGTATGTGAGTGACTGAGCGTGTGAGAGAGCGCGAGTGATGATGCTGATGTTGATGATGAGAGTGTGAGTGAGTGTGAGTGTGAGTGAGTGGTGATGATGATGAGTGAGTGAGTGAGTGTGCGAAGGCAGAAGAGGAGAGGGGGTGGGGTGAGTGTTCCTGCGCGGGCTGTGCAGAGAAAACAAGAACCCCACTTTGGATGTGGGGAACAACTTTTCCTATTTTTTCTTTTTTTTCGGGCCCCGCTGGGGCGGCGGGGAAATCCCGAGGGCCGAACGGGAGAGCGAACAACAGGAAAACAAGGAAACATATGACCAAACCTGTGTTTTCACATGGAAAAAAAGGAAAAAAAACTCCGCCTCCGAGGGCGGGGAGGAGGAACAAAAGAAAAAAACACCCTCCTCCGTCTCCTCCGCCCAGTC